CTTATACGAGAGAGTCTGTACATGTAGAAATGTTATATTCTGTATTATTAAGCTCCTTAAAAGTAAAAAAAATCTTGTTTTTCTTACGTGTGTGATGAACACAACCAAGGTTACAGAGTTAATTGGCATAAATCTGGGTATACGGGTGTCGAAACCTTCCTTTGGTGACCAGACTGCTTGCCACATTGTTTAACCGCCATTATTGATCTTTTCAAGGTTAGACAACTCCTGAAATCAGAGAAATGCTAGTGTAAATGAGAGTTACCTGTCCCTCTTGAGGTCTCACACAAGAAAATAATTTCACAGTATATTACTATATAGCTTGAAGTAGATAATTTAATTTATGAGACTCTCAGCAGAAAATTCATGAAAGAGAAGATAGAGATGAATGCTAAAAAAAAATGTGAGATCCAAAAAAATATGCCTTATGTGTTTTTTATAAAAGAAAATGGACAGTAAACTTACCTACCCCGAAATGCACGTGTGATTCACATGTTGACAAACAGCCTACACAGCCATCCAGGAAGTTGCATCATGCGAACTTTAAAAAACGATTTTCTTTGAATTCCATGGAATAATTCTGCTGAAGAAATGATATTCCTAGTACACGAGTCCAGTTTTAATACTGTAGGTCTAAATAAAATTGCCAGAAATGAAAAAAGCAAAAAGAAATTGTCTCTATATATATGAAACTTCAATTGACTAAGTTCCTTTAGCTTGGCTATTTCCTTGCGTAAGACTATACTATACTCAAAGTTAAGAAGAATGCTAAGAAGCAATTTCCTTACAACTTGCATAAATTTATTAAAACATATAAATAGTTATAGAATGTAATTGTAAAAATCATTTGTATGTTCAGGAATAAATGTTAAAATATAAAATGTAACAATCACTGCACATCATTTCCTCACCAAAAAGGAAACATCAATAATGCTTATAATGAAACAAAACCAGCAGTCTTTGACACTTCATTATAAACATATTTTACTCTATTTAGTTTTATTAAGAATAATAGTACAGTAAAACTCGGTTATAACGAAGTCACTGGGACCTCTGAAAGTACTTAGCTATATCCGTAAATCGTTATATCCGTATAAGTAATTCGTTAAATGTACATATTTGGGGACCCAAGATAACTTCGTTATATCCGTGTTCGTAATATCCGTGTTTGTACTAAACGAGTTTTACTGTATATATAAAATGCTCCCCATTTAACTCCAAAACTATTGTCCAAAACAGATAGAAGCTTCCACTTAGATTGGAAAGACACATTGTTTTTTCTTCAAATTTAACCCTGTTTATAAACTTTTATAAACTTTTATCAACGGACATTTGTTGCACTCACTAATCCTTTCTCTGTCTCTTCCTTCCTATAGTATATCAGGTCCCCACCTCTTGTTCCTCCAAATTGTTGCAGCATTCTGTAGTTAAATAACAATTAACAAATGAATTAGAATGTGTTGCTGTGAAGAAACTACCCTTCTATGTTTACATGCATCTGTTATGACATAATTAAGGAAAGAATAATATACCCGTGCTTCAGATAAAACATACTTTTAATTCATTGAAGGGTATAATTAAGAAAACAGGTGTTATTAGTATCTGACCTGATAAGCAAACTTGTGCAAATGAAATGGGTTGTAAACGGGGATTTATAAACATTAATTACTTCTGTCCTTCCTACAACAAATGAAACCCACGTTTAACTTAATATCGGCGATAAATGAACTTCCTTTCAAGGACTTTGATACATTATACAACACACACATTTGATTAAAAAGCAGACACAACCCTGACAATCTGTAACAGTTGTGGAAACATGTTATCGTATCATTTTCAGTTGAAATGAATTCGCTCTAATTATTCACATTCTCGCACATTATTTGCCAAAGAAATCTGCAATCGTGCATTGGATAGTGTCAGCAGATAGACCCTGACATAATTTTAGCCGATAATATTGATATCATGTTGAAATGTGCCCTTACTTTCAAGATAAATGCTGAAAATCCTCTCCACTGTTTCATCATGGAAGTCAAATGTAAATAAACAATCCTTCGGAACTCCTCACCCCTCTTCCGCTTATACTTGAAGAAATTTAAATGAGAGTTATCGCTCTTAGCCTTATGGACGAATGCAGGAACGTAAAGAAATTTCAGAATTTAAACTGTGCATACACATAAGCAGATGAATCTAATGTTAATGTCATTGAAAGTACACGAAATATTTAATAATGACTTACAGGGAAATATACATTGCTGAATTGTATATATTATAGCGTTCTTATGTCTGTTAACTGCAAATTTTTTTTTTCTCTAAATTTTTACCTTCACTATTAACTGAGTACTGTTTCCTTTTCACCGCAATGAAATTAATTTGTTTATTTTAACTTTTTTTGTATATTTTTTAACCATTTGCCTACCCTACTCAGATTACTCAAAATATGTTGGCGATTATTTTCGAGAGAAATAGATGTGAATTATTTAAAAGTGTATATCAGAAAATTTTCCTAAATATCAATTGAAGTTTATGCCTAAAATTGAATTGCATAGATGTTTAGAACAATGAAATCCGTTATCTTTTCCCTGTCCTGACATATTTGATTTGTAGGAAGGCGTTATGCATTTAAGGAAATTAATAATTTATTGATGAATATCAATTATACTGAATATTTTCATAATTTGCTTGTTTTTAATAGCTTGTAACTTCAGGGTTAGCCAAGATTGAAATAATTCATATAGGCGCGGTGCTTGCACCCTCCCCCACCCCCACCCACTACACCCTCAACCATGGATGCTTTAGCTTAGTGTTATGACCGAAGTGAACCAGAGGCCTAGCTCTTCGGCAGAGCGAGCGTTCGCGAGCTCTCGCCCAAATTCCTTATACCTCCATTTGTAGGTTAAATTCACCGACCTCGGAACCGCGTGGCTAGGGGGTGGGGTGGGTTGAATTAGCAGTAATGGACAAAACTATATAGACATGGAAGATTTCTTTTATTGATGTATTGGTTAAGCCCCCTGCTACTACTGTCCCCCCCCCCCCCCACACACACACTTAAAGTTTCCTTCCAATGCCCATGCTCATAGATATTGCTTAAAATGCCAAAGATTTCCTCAATGGAAATACTATATTTTCTTTCTATTATTAAGCAATGAATTTGGTATGATAGTTTAGTTACCGGTATATCTACTGATGGAAATGAAGAAGGTAAATCTACGTAGCCTATAGTTGAATCCAGAGGAAAATGAATATTAAAAATGGAATGAAAATGTGAACTGCATTTTGTTTTGAAATTATTATGTATTTAAAATGTTGTCAGAACCCTGAAAATCTACTAATATGAATATTACAATTAAACAACATGTACCAGTAATTATATAGTTTCTTTATAAGATTATAACTTAGCACAGTTTCTACAGCCTTGTGATAGCCCATTTCTTGAAATCTGAATGTGAATAGATCATTAAGATTTAATTTTAATTTCAATTCAATTTAATTTAATTTGTCTGACAATTACCATGTCGGCATACATTAATTTGTGAATTCGAACATTAATAACCTAACACAAACGTACACCATGAAGACATGCATAAACACGTTGAGAAATATGAGTTGAACAAAAATGTGTATTTCTTAATATCTAGTTATAATAATGTATAGCCCATAACAGAAAATAAAATGAGATTATTACAATATGTGAATATGTTATGTATAGTCACTATAGTGTTATTAAAAACTAAATTTTAAATTATTTATGAAATTGGTTTTTGTAAGTCATCCTGATTACCTCAGTGGTTATCGAACTTAGCTACCCAGTGATGCTCGAGGTCCGGGGTTGGAATCCCGGTCCAGTCATTGTACCGGTCACAGTACGTGGTCTTATGCAAGTAATAATTCTGTCTATCATACCACAAGTAACTCTTTTAAGATGTTGAAATATACATTGTGTGTGTTATATTAGTGTACAAGTTAAAAAGTTTTGAATTCTCTGTGAAATGTGAAACCTTTTCTGTTATAGTTTAATTATTTTCTTATAAATTTATACATTTGAATGCCTATATGTAGTTAAATTTTCTTCAACTTTTTTAAAATGATTGTCAGATGTTGTTAAAGTGTAATGAATAGATAAGAAAATCTTAACTTAAATGAAATATTAGGAATCCATATATTTCCCATATAACCAATATATATGAAATCACTGTTTATTCCCCTAGTACTTTGCTATTCCGGAAAAAATAGCGGTGTCGTTTTCTTCATTTATCATTTACTAAATCCGAATTACTCCTTTCTTTATCCGTGAAGAGAAAGAAACCGCGAATATTCTTTTTGAATATGTAGAATTGGAAAGCCTTACTAGATGGGAATATAATATGGAAAGGTGAAATCAAACATAAGGGAAAGCTAATGACCCTATTGAATTATACTTATCAGAATGTGAAGGTGTATTGATATATACTGACGTCAATCCTCGCTATTGGTTAGAAGTCAGGCGGGATTTCCAGTTTCGCGGAGAAGTTATGGCCCGATGTAGCGACAAGTAAGGAAATGAAGAAAGTTTCAGTGAATAATATGTATAGATATGTCAGTGCTGCATTACACAAACACAATGCCTTCCTGGTACTAACAGCTAGAAACAGTGGACTTTAAATCCAGCCACTTGTGACATTAGATACAACGTGTATCAGGTAGGCCTATGTTATGATATTGGTATATTTGTTAGAGAAATCTTTTTGAATTGGATGACCAGCCTTATTGGTTCCTATCAGACTGAACTGGAGAGATTTTTCTACCGTTGAATTTTAAAAAATCCTCCTGTCGCTGGTTCGTTTTCGATGGACCTAATTTTAGCAAGAGTTACTTCCCGTTGACGGCCATAGTGGAGGATTTCTTCGTTGTTCAAACAGTTATAAATTTATATATACTCACCGTCAATGGAAACGCAACACTCTCTTTTTAGGGTGAAAAATTATATACGGGATATAACTATGTACCAAACAAGTTAGGACATCTTTAACTTTGCCAAATCAGTTATTTAATGGTTGAATGGTTTTCATTCCATTACCAAAAGTTGATTTTTTAGCCCCCTTAACAGATAACATTTAAATAAAACATCCCCCCTTCCGACCATTTAATCAAAACATGCTAGTCCGCCATGCACAACCTACATGTACGCAGTCCGATTTCTACGATGCATTAGGTTTATCAATGTCTTTATCTGAGCGAAATAAATAATCTTGGGCATTTTTAATTGCCTGTTGTTCAGAAACTGCGGTCGAATTTTCTCTAACTTGGCGTAGTGTAGTAACTCTTGGACTTCCGTTCTTTAAACAGTTATTTATGCTATTGAAATACATGAGCCTGATGAGTCGTTAAACATGTGTACGTTTGCATCTGCACTCTTTTTTTTCTTTATTTTGAGAATCTCCACCATTAGCAAAAAAAATCAGTCATTTTGGGGAAATATAGGTATCACATCCGGTAAAGAAAGAAGGATTTTTTCCCGGGATTTTTGTACATCACGTATGATAAACAGCTACAAAACCTTGAGAACCCAAAATATTGTTAAAAATTTTATTAAATATGCAAAAAATTGATTTCTCTAAAGAGGGCAAAAAGCAACTTCCGGTATAGTAAAGAATTTCGTTCAACCGTTGAAAAACTGATTTTGCAAAGTAAAAGATGTCCTAACTTTTTTGGTACATGGTAATAACCCGTATATACTTTTCACCCTAAAATTATAGTGTTGCGTTTTCATTGACGGTGAGTATATTTGCGATTTGGAATAAGGCATTATAAATGTTTTGAAGTATATGATCTCTTTGAAGCCTTCTTTATTTTGAAAAAATAGTTACTAATGATTTTCCATCACATATTTCTGCTAGAGTTATTTAAACTTGGTAAGACAAAGAGGAAAACGCACCGAGTCGACCTCCAATATGGCCACCAACGGGAGTTAACTTTTGTTAAAATGATGCCCATGGAAAACACTCAAAGAAAAATTGGGAGATAACTCTAGCTCATTGGATTAACGATGAAAAATCCTGAGAGGTTGTATGTCCGCAAATGTTTGACTACCGTATTCTCTCCGTTTTTGTCTGTCAACTAAGAGGACTTGCGGGAGTTTGATTTGGGGTTATTTTTGGACAGAACATCTCGCAAATGATATTACATATTTAACAACATTGTGTCACACATTTTGTCAAACCACGGTCCGTAGTCCGCATACAGCTCTCTTCTACCCGTGGCTGAATCAACCTATCATGTCAAAAATATACAAGAAATATTTATTATACTGTGATTGGCCATGGAAAGGTCTCAATAAAGTTCATCATGCGATTATGCTTTACTTACATTGTTCAATTTTTTAATGAGTTACGAGGAATTCTCTCTTCTCGTTCAACCACGTCCAGAATGGTTGGGAATC